CTTTGCAACGAGTTCGTCAGTTGATCTTGGTTGGTTAGTGGACCCAAAGAATAAGCAAATATATATTTACAGACGGAAGGTTAGTGGAGTTGTCTATCGAACTTCATACGGCTGGAATAATGTAAATGGTGGTAGTATTTTACCGGGATTCACACTTAAAGTGGAGAAAATTGATGATACAATTTCACAGGTAAGTTTTATTAATTTCTATTTTTTTTTTATCGTTCATTACTTTTTTTATAAATTCATATATTCTATAACTAGGAATCCTCAGAATCCTCATCACCAGACGAAGAATTTCAAATTAATTGCCCAGAATGTGAAATAACTTTCTCTGATCGGTATGCTTTTATGGAACACTATGAAGATAGCCATGCTCGTAGATGGCGTAAAAGAGAATAGAATATACGACATGTAATTGAAATGTATATTCTTTTTTGTATGTTGTTTTGGCGACATCCTTTACTTCATTAAACAAAGCAAAATTTTACGGAACCAGGCACAAAGTGCCATTATTTTGAAATATGGAAAAATTTCTGATTTAAATATGTTGTAAACATGATCATGTAAGTGAAATCAATCCGCTTAATTAATACGGAAAAATAAAAAAAAGTACAGTAGAAAATACATTATAGAAATTCGAAATTCCGCATGTTTTATTCGAAAAAAATAATTCTAAATGTAAATCATATATTAAAGTTAACATTTATCTGCAATTTAGATATTAATAAGTATGAATTGATTATAAATCAAGAATTTTGGAAGCTTGTCTCTTCGGAATAACAATTCTGATTTTTATCGTACTATACTTCAAGTAGAAGCGATGAACTATGTAAATCAAAGCTATATGTATCATATAACAAAATATAACCGTCACATCATCTGACCCATAATTCAACTGTGGAATAAACTCTGATTGGCTAACTGGTCGATTATAACCGTCACTATGTCACAACGACAGAAAAGGACTTCTAGATCTTCTGGTAATATTTCCTCTAGTACTCATACTTTTCGTATTAGATCTTCTGAACCCACGGAACCTCAACCGGATCCTCTTCGAAATGCCATTTTGGAATGTCAAATTTCCTTAGTTATTCAGGAAAATAATAGTCTCCGTTCTCAGCTTTCTTCCTTTATTCAAGAAAATAATAATCTTCGTTCTCAAGTCGCCGCATTACAATATCAAGTTGAGGTTTAACAGATCGCTATTTCTATTTCAAATAAGGCATTTATTGAAGAATTTTCATTTAATAGTGACAAAATTTCCGCAGATGATAAGTCTTGATTTATTTTTGGTTTATTTTTTTTACTTTTATATGATTTATGTAATATTCTGTCGATTTATTTTTGAACATTTCGACCATTGTTGGTTTATTTTGTTTTATTTATTTTTTTTTTTTTTAATATGGTTTATGCAATATTCTGTCGATTTAATTTCGAAACATTTCGATCATTATTGTTTTATTTCTTTTTCTTTTATGTTTTATGTAATATTCTGTCATTTATCTTCGAAAAAGTTTGACCTTTTTGAGTGCTAATTTAAAAGGTTATAATCTCAAGGTTTTAACGTTGTTTCTCTTTTTTTCTTTTTTTAAGTTATCCTATGATTTTGACAATAATCTCTATATTTCTATAGATATTTATTTTATGAGTCTTGTATGTTCTTATTATTATTTTCTATAAAGGTGTTTCAATTATAGGTATTTGGATAGCAAGATTAAATGATTGTGTTAATAGAAATGTATTATGTTCTGAAGTTAAGAATGATTGTTTTTTAGCTCTCTGGGTAAGAAGTGATGTTCAAAAATCATATTTGTACATGGAAAATTTTAATTTATCATAAAAAAGATATAATATACGCTATTTCATTATATTACTACTACTATCTTGGAGTGAATTATGCTTAATCGATTGATTCTTTCGATTTGCATGAAAGTTGAAATTGACAAAACTCATAGTGTTAAGTTTTTTTTTTTTTTGATGACCATGTTTAATAAAAATTTTCATTATCGCTATAGTTATATTTGAACTAGAGGCCCGGGCTGAGCTGGTAACAAAATTTTATAAATGCGGACCGGGCTGGCCTGGCAAAAAATTTCGTTATTCCTGGAACAACTAAAAAATCGGGATTCATAAATTACCAACATCAAAACTTATCGATTCGGTCATCGGTAATTTTTTCAGTTGTCCCAGTAATAATAAAAATGCGGGCCAGGCCACAAAAACAGGCAATTTGTAGGCCCTTAATTTGAACCTTACTAATTTAGCGATATTATAATCATGTTATAATTGTATAATGTTTTATTGAAGGTTCAATTTGAGTTGATTCAGTTGATGACATTATTAACAAAAGGTTTGTTTAATTTTGAACGAAAGAATAACGAAATTAAAAAAAAATCATTTAAATATTTATTGATTCAAGTTGACATAATTGATTTAAACTAAACAAATTATTTAACATTAAATATTTATTGATTGATTTAAGTTGATGTAATTTGATTTGAATTAAAAAAAATCATTTAATTTTATTGATTTTTTTTATTCGGGTTGGTGCGGACAACTTTGGGTTCGGGTATTTAATTCAGGTCATCTGAACTAAATCAACCCTTTTGGAGCACTAGTCATCTCCATCGAAACTATAACCGAACCTTCAATAAAACATTATACAATTATAACATGATTATAATATCGCTAAATTAGTAAGGTTCAAATTAAGGGCCTACAAATTGCCTGTTTTTGTGGCCTGGCCCGCATTTTTATTATTACTGGGACAACTGAAAAAATTACCGATGACCGAATCGATAAGTTTTGATGTTGGTAATTTATGAATCCCGATTTTTTAGTTGTTCCAGGAATAACGAAATTTTTTGCCAGGCCAGCCCGGTCCGCATTTATAAAATTTTGTTACCAGCTCAGCCCGGGCCTCTAGTTCAAATATAACTATAGCGATAATGAAAATTTTTATTAAACATGGTCATCAAAAAAAAAAAAAACTTAACACTATGAGTTTTGTCAATTTCAACTTTCATGCAAATCGAAAGAATCAATCGATTAAGCATAATTCACTCCAAGATAGTAGTAGTAATATAATGAAATAGCGTATATTATATCTTTTTTATGATAAATTAAAATTTTCCATGTACAAATATGATTTTTGAACATCACTTCTTACCCAGAGAGCTAAAAAACAATCATTCTTAACTTCAGAACATAATACATTTCTATTAACACAATCATTTAATCTTGCTATCCAAATACCTATAATTGAAACACCTTTATAGAAAATAATAATAAGAACATACAAGACTCATAAAATAAATATCTATAGAAATATAGAGATTATTGTCAAAATCATAGGATAACTTAAAAAAAGAAAAAAAGAGAAACAACGTTAAAACCTTGAGATTATAACCTTTTAAATTAGCACTCAAAAAGGTCAAACTTTTTCGAAGATAAATGACAGAATATTACATAAAACATAAAAGAAAAAGAAATAAAACAATAATGATCGAAATGTTTCGAAATTAAATCGACAGAATATTGCATAAACCATATTAAAAAAAAAAAAAATAAATAAAACAAAATAAACCAACAATGGTCGAAATGTTCAAAAATAAATCGACAGAATATTACATAAATCATATAAAAGTAAAAAAAATAAACCAAAAATAAATCAAGACTTATCATCTGCGGAAATTTTGTCACTATTAAATGAAAATTCTTCAATAAATGCCTTATTTGAAATAGAAATAGCGATCTGTTAAACCTCAACTTGATATTGTAATGCGGCGACTTGAGAACGAAGATTATTATTTTCTTGAATAAAGGAAGAAAGCTGAGAACGGAGACTATTATTTTCCTGAATAACTAAGGAAATTTGACATTCCAAAATGGCATTTCGAAGAGGATCCGGTTGAGGTTCCGTGGGTTCAGAAGATCTAATACGAAAAGTATGAGTACTAGAGGAAATATTACCAGAAGATCTAGAAGTCCTTTTCTGTCGTTGTGACATAGTGACGGTTATAATCGACCAGTTAGCCAATCAGAGTTTATTCCACAGTTGAATTATGGGTCAGATGATGTGACGGTTATATTTTGTTATATGATACATATAGCTTTGATTTACATAGTTCATCGCTTCTACTTGAAGTATAGTACGATAAAAATCAGAATTGTTATTCCGAAGAGACAAGCTTCCAAAATTCTTGATTTATAATCAATTCATACTTATTAATATCTAAATTGCAGATAAATGTTAACTTTAATATATGATTTACATTTAGAATTATTTTTTTCGAATAAAACATGCGGAATTTCGAATTTCTATAATGTATTTTCTACTGTACTTTTTTTTATTTTTCCGTATTAATTAAGCGGATTGATTTCACTTACATGATCATGTTTACAACATATTTAAATCAGAAATTTTTCCATATTTCAAAATAATGGCACTTTGTGCCTGGTTCCGTAAAATTTTGCTTTGTTTAATGAAGTAAAGGATGTCGCCAAAACAACATACAAAAAAGAATATACATTTCAATTACATGTCGTATATTCTATTCTCTTTTACGCCATCTACGAGCATGGCTATCTTCATAGTGTTCCATAAAAGCATACCGATCAGAGAAAGTTATTTCACATTCTGGGCAATTAATTTGAAATTCTTCGTCTGGTGATGAGGATTCTGAGGATTCCTAGTTATAGAATATATGAATTTATAAAAAAAGTAATGAACGATAAAAAAAAAATAGAAATTAATAAAACTTACCTGTGAAATTGTATCATCAATTTTCTCCACTTTAAGTGTGAATCCCGGTAAAATACTACCACCATTTACATTATTCCAGCCGTATGAAGTTCGATAGACAACTCCACTAACCTTCCGTCTGTAAATATATATTTGCTTATTCTTTGGGTCCACTAACCAACCAAGATCAACTGACGAACTCGTTGCAAAG